TCATAGCATGTGAAATAAATTATAAAGCCTTCAGATGTATATTAATCTCTTGATTATATAAGAGATTTATTTTTTAGCAATTTATAAATAAAAAATTATTTATTATGAAAAAATTAAATTTTAAAAAACATGTGTGTGTATTTTGAAAATATTTATACACATTATTTTATTTTAAATTTATTTACATAAATTTAAATTAATTACATTAATAAGTAATATTATGTACATTAAAGATTTTCGTTATATATTAAGACGAATAAAAATACTTCTATAACTTTTATAAATACTAGTAATGATATTATAAGACAACAAACTTTATAATAAAATACTATTTAGTATTTTATGGTGAACAATCACAATAAAATATTTTAATTTTTCTAATATCAATAAATAAATATATATTCTAAATCAAATTCATATTAGTATAGACGTGTTAGCGGAATAATATATTAATTAACACGTTAACATTCTGGTTAAAATAAAGACCACTGATTGATAGAGGTGGAAAAAATTGATTATCCAACCTATTGTTCTTTGTGCATAAACGGATAAGGCTTATGAAAATGATTCATTTAACATAATATATGTGTCCAAGTGCATCCGGCAATGTACTAGTTATTTGCTAAGATTCATTTCATGTCATTATAATTTATTTTCTAAGAAAAAAAATGTTTAAACTAGAGAGCTTTTATATTTAAGTATATTTTTAATGATAAAATTATAATTAAAATTTAAACTAATATATAAAAAAAAAATAGTTTCTTAAGAAGGTAGAACTCTATTTTTTTTTTTTTTTATCATACAAAGACTTTGCTAATAATAAACACATGTACAAAAAATATTAATTATATCACAATTTCTTTGTAAAAAATAATTTATAATATGAGTTAAAAAAATCTATAACTAAGTCTGCGTACTTTTTACTAAATCTAAAATTACAACAGACGTAAAAAAATATATTAAAGTATGGGAGAATGCTACCATCCCGTTACGGGATGGTTCCGTTGTATTTTTAAGCGTTGGATTAACTACACATCACTAGATTACATGTATATCTATGACTAGAAAATACAACGGAACCATCCCGTAACGGGATGGTAACATTAAACACACAAAGATTCCTAGATGACATGGACGTCTAACAAAATTAAAATTGAGTAATTATACACGTTAGCTACTTAATTGGAATAGGATTACCAGCAACCAAATAGTGTATATATAATAGTGGGTTGGGTTCACATGAGAATGGTTCTCAATGAAAAAAATGAGAATAAACTATAGTCATTAGATATAATGATCTAATGGCTAAAAAAAGCTAAAATAATACCTTCATTAAAGACATTACAGTAATTTACACATTAACATTAAACAGGTGGCCCCACTACAAATTAATATATCTCTTAACCCAACCCATCACTCAACCCAACAAGGCAACAACCCCACCCAGCCCTCTCTCTCTCTCTCTCCCCCCCTCCCCCCGTCACTCTCTCTCTCTTACAGTTACACACACTTCACCATAGACACACAGTCCGTTTGCCTCCTCGAGCGGCGCCGCCACCGTCGTCCTACAGTCAAACCTTTCGTCCCCGCCGTCGTCAAGTCTTATGTCGCCGATGTCACGCCGGAAAATCGTCCGCCCCACCTATTCCGTGCGTCTGGCCTTGTCTTCTTATTCCTCCGGTTGGCCGCCCTATAGCGCCGCGCCGCCGATTCCCGAAGCCGCCGCACACGTTGAAGTATGGTGGGAGCAGCGACGTCCTGAAAAAGTGGAGTTTCGATCGGAAAACTCACCGCTCGTACTTTCGAGCACCTCTCACAGAGCCGCCGCGACCTTCGGAGCAGCTCGCCACCGACGCTCGCAGCTGCTGCCGTACGATCGGAGCACGACACTCCCGCCAGAAAGCTGAATTCGTGATTTTTTTTTTTAATTGATTGCAGTTTGAAGATGAATTTTTTGTTACAGCCATATGAATATCACAGACAGTTGGAGAAAATAGAAAAACTAAATTTGAAAATATGTGGATGAAATTTAAAATTTAAAATTTAATTTCACATAGGGACAAGACAACACAATAGTAAATGCCTAATTAATACAGTATATATTTATGGTACAAGCTACACATGCAAATGTGCAATTGGCTTGGTCAAAAGTCCAACCCATCTAAATTTTGGTTTTGCAACTTGAATGGGTAAAGGGGTTTTAAATGTATAGGGTAGAATTTTACCGAAAAAAAAATGTATAGGGTAGAAAGTTTAAATGTATGACAGACGACTAAAAACATTGCATGTTAGTGTTAGACATATTGTACATTAACGCGTGTCTGCGCATTATGGATCAAAACTAAAATAATTTTAATTTTATGTTTGTTCACATATATCTTGATCAATTTTAGAATTTAATTTATTTCGACTTTGATAATATCAACTGAACTAAAGTTATTTCGATAATTTTAAAATTTGTTTTGATAGTTGCACTCAAAAAATGAAAGAGTCGAGTTGAATGAAAAATATTTTTATTATGATTTATATATTTTCTATGTATTGTGAGTCTATATTATAATTGTATGAATTGCATGTTATTGACTATATGATCGTACAATATTTAAAATAACCCATCTAAAATTTTCATTTCAAAACTTTATATTTCAGTTCAATTATTATATTTCTACCTATAAACTCCTTAATGCACTTTATAGATCAACACGTTGCACTTTATATAACAACACATTTCACATTACAAAACAACACGCTGCACTTTATCACCACTACCAGATTGTACAAAAGACGTCGAAATCGACCGGACATAATTTTTTTCAACAACGAATAATATAAATAATAAATAAAATTATTATAAATATACGTTTGTAATAATAAATAATAAAATAATTTAATTATTTAAGTTAATTTTGTGTACATTTATATGACTAGTTTTCGAATCCACATAAACAACATGTTGCACTTTATAAAACAACACATTTCACTTGACAACATAATACGTTGCACTTTATCACGATTATTAGATTGCACATTAGAAGATTACACATTAGAGATCGAAACCGGCCGAACTCAATTTTATTCAACAGAAAAATTATTTTGTCTAGATAATTCGATTCAATTTCAAATTGTTTTGAAAGAAAAGCTCAATCAGTACACAATGCACAATATTGACTGAAGAAGTGGACGATAGTGTTAGGTAAGTTAGACATTAATGTAATAATAGTGTTAGTTAAGTTGCTCACTAAACCAATAATAAATAATAAATTATTTAAATTAATTTTATGTAAAATTTTATGTAATAAATCTAGTTTTAAAAAAACATAATGCACTTTACAAAACATCACGTTGCACCTTATAAAACATCACGTTGCGCTTACTATCAGATTGCACAACAGTGAAAATTCGAGTTTTTTTCGTCAATCAGAAATACCATAAAAGTAATAATTAATTTATATCATATTAAATATATTCATGATACAACTAAAAAAATCATTTGATTATTTATGATAATTCGATTAACCGAACCGAATAAATCAATTAATTATATTCAAATTCAATTTGTTTAGGAAAAAAAAATCGTTTGGTTCAATATGCACGGTACATAACAACACCGTGCACCATAGTGTTGGAGGAATTGTACTTTAATAATTGTTAGATTGCACATAATATTTCTTTTACATATATATGGATTTTTAATCAAAAGATAAAATAAACTATTAAATAAAACAATATTAAAAACTAATTACAATAAATAATATATTTGATTTAAGTTAATTTTGTTATTTCGTTTAACCGACAAATGAAACCGATTGTCACATTATAATGTGTAATTTATGTATCATTATAGTGCATTAATTAAATTTTTACCATATTACACATTTGCCCCATGTATTAAATTGAAATAAACTAAACTCAGAAAAATTACAAATAAATCCTTAAAACATATCAAATTTTCAAAAGGCAACCCACAAGTCCAAATCACAACAACTTTCCATCCACCTCCGCCTGAGATCAAGGGCGTCCCGACCAAATCGGGGGCCCAGTGCGAAATTTCAAAATGGGGCCCGAGTGAAAATCAATCTCCAATTTCTAATCGAAACTTTGTTCATATCATATCGACCATTGTCGATGTCTTCTACTATTGCCATATCAAAGCAGCTCAATATTCTACCAAGAGGGACTAACTTAATTTAGTTCATGAATGAGATAACCCATATGAATGTGAATATTACAATAACGGTTACAAATCCCGACGGAATGATTCCGTAACGAGATCGTAGCATTTCCCAAATATATATATATTTTTAAGATAAACCCATTAGAAATTATGTTTCCAGTCATCAAATGCACATAATCACTACTTTTATTACAAAAATAAAAGGGCACAATTTCATCATTCATATTTACCCTTTTTTCTCAATAACCTATTGTGTGACCCCAAAACCAGAAAAATGCTATCAAAAGTCAACAAAATCACTTAAAAATGTAAGCTTTATCAAAATCAGCTACTCTGTTATCCAAAAATCAGTAGCTTTTTTTAAGCTTAAAAGTCTCTAAACCTGTTTCAAACGCTCCCTTCGAATGTGGGTTGCCGAGAAATTGGGTTGCCCCTGTTAAAATGAACACAAAAAGCAACAAACTTTTTTCACCTGTGAAGAACAACATGAGCAAAATGTAAAGAACTGTAGAAACCCAAAAAGAGATTTTATTAGTAAAAAATCAAAGGGAAGAAGAAATACGAATCTCACAAATCGATCTCCAATTTCTCTTTGTAAATTCATAAGAATCGTACTGTATATCGTCGTCGCAAACTGGATTGAAGGACCTTCAAATTTGGGGGCCCTGTGCGGTCGCACAGCCCGCACGGGCCCAAGGACGCTCCTGCTGAGATCAACCGGAAGTTAAGGTCGCTGTCTCTATGGTCACCCGCCGTCGGAGATCTACGCTGGAAAGCAGCCTCTCGTCGGATAGCAGCATCTCGCCGGACATGGCAGACTCGAACCTCAACATCCCGACGGAGCATGTTGTGACCGGCGACGATTGCGGGCTATGGCAAAAGCTTTCCTGGTGTTGGCGGCGATGGAATCGTCTGGCTTTGTCGCAGCGATTTGGTGGTTGCTAGAGGAGGCCGACGTGAAGCTTGGGGCGAATGCCAAACTGCGGACGCCTCCGGTGGCCACGATGGGCGGCAACGGCGGTGTTTCTGATGGTTGCCATCTCTGTGGTAGAAGGCGGCGCGGTGGACTGGTGGTGGTGTTTTGGCCCGAAATGTGAGCAGATTCTGCAGTGGAGCTTAGTCCGTAGATGATGGCGGGCGTCTCCGGGGGGCATGATGGACAGAAGTCGCGGTGTTGATGGCGCCGGTGGCAGACGGTGGCGCGGTGGTCGGTCTTGGATTTTTTGGCCAGATCCAGTGCGTGTGTGTGACTGTAAGATGAGTGTGTGTTTTATGTGTGTGTGAAAGAAGCCTGTACGTGAGTTTTTTATTTTTGGGAGAGATGAAGTGTGATTGGTTGGGGTGGTTACCATGTAATTATTTGTAAAGACTAAATTACCCTTAATGAGTGTCAAATAAATAAATTACATTTAATGAGTTTGACTATAATTACTAAATTTGACTTCATCATGACCATTGATAGGTTGTATCTAATGGTCTACCATCATTCTCATTTCTTTCACTATCATTCATTCTCATATGATCCCTACTCATATAATAGTTGTGTTCATATAATTTTCAACAGATCATCCAAGGCAAGAACCAATTCACATAGTTCTCTTTGTGGTACGTTGTTACATGCTTGTATATATATACACTTTTTTTCTATTATTTTTTTTGGTAGCCAGCAACGGTATTCGGAGCTATGCCCCGACTAATTCGTTGGTCTACCCGGGTCGCACACCTGGCAGTGGTGGGTGAGTCTCCCAACAAGAGTTTTCTGCATCCACAAGGACTCGAACCCGAGACCTTGTTTAAGCGACATCAAGCTGCTTACCACTTGAGTCAACCCAATATACACTTTGAAATTACATTATGTATACTTTTCTCTCACATTCTGTGTATTAATAAAAATATACTGTATTAACAATAATATCATTATGCTGCAGGAACAAAGATCGATCTAACTATGTCGAACGCTATGGTCAATCTTTTGGAGATTACTCGAAACACATTCACGATCCAATTAAAAGTTCTACGAGCAGGATCAGAAGTTCATTCACATTGCGGGAAATAAATTCATCAACTCATAACGATAGCGAAGAACGTAAGTACATAGCTCAATTTTTATTGAAAAAAAAAAAATAGAAACAAAAATTATCGAATTAAATTTTTTAGCTTGATAGGCTGCGTGTTGTGCTATTTGAATAAACAGTTCTTTAAGTCATTCTATTCTGCAGAAGTACGAATATTATAACCTTGGATGTGATTTTGTTTATATTTTTTAACTTTATAATAAAATAATGAGTATTTATGGTGACTAGTAGGGGCGAATTTTCTTTAAAGTTAAAAAATATAAACAAAATTTTGGAGGGCTGATTTAATATATTTTAGATTTATATGCTTTTTTTCTTTTTTAGATATATGTAGTTTAGTAACATTGAGATTAACAATTATTATTCATTATGTTAATAATTATATTTGTATCTATTAATGCTAGGAGTCCAAATTGAAATAATTATTTCGTTAAAATTTGGAGTCATATCATCCCATAAAGAGACTATAATGGATCGACTCCTAGGTAAATGGCTTTTATTAGGTGTTAATTGTCTTTTTTCCTTGGTAACCTAGGTAAATCTAAGGAGATGTGGTCCAATCTTGTACTGACTTTAAATTATTTATATTTTCTATTTTAAAAGGGTGAAATTACTAAACAATAAATTAATATGAATTGTTTGTTGAGGGCTTGTTTTTTTCTTTTTTTTTTTTTTTT